AATCCTTGATGTCAAGCACCTGAATCTTCCTTCTCTGGTTCTGGTAATCTTGATAACCCTGGTGAAGCTTTCTCTTACTCCTTGTCATCCTCTCTTCGTCATTCCAATCTTGCCGATGATCACGTTCTGAATCTTCCTTCTTCTTAAGGTTTTCTAGATAACTGGAAGGCGGACTTAGCACCCGATGTAGCGTCTTCAACTCTTTCCCATTACCAAAGCATCGTTTCAGCAGCAGCGGATTTGCAGGCTTCTTCTTCTCCATAGTTGCCATGGCGTGCACATCAATACCGACGCCTTCCAAGAAGGTGACGGGATCGAAAGCTGTGGTTTCAGAGAAGAGAGCATCAAGGTCGTCAGCGTAGAGAGCGCGAAGGTCGTCTAGTACCCGGAGTAGCGTCTTCAACTCTTTCCCGTTACCAAAGCATCGTTTCGGCTGTGGCGGATTTACAGGCTTCTTCTTCTCCATAGTTGCCATGGCGTGCACATCAATACTCATGTCTTCCAAGAAGGTGACGGGATCGAAAGCTGTGGTTTCAGCGAAGAGAGCATCAAGGTCGTCAGTGAAGAGAGCATCAAGGTCGTGAAGAAGCTTTCCCTCACATGGCAGTTCATGCTCCATCTGGTTGGGAGAAGGAAAGCAGTGATAGCTAGGGCTTTGGAATCTGGAAACTGGAGAATAGTACTGTAGTGGTTTACAAAAGGCTGCGGGGGTTGGTTGATACCTCTAGCTAATGGGCTACGTATGTATATATAAACTTTCTTTTCTTGCCTCATGTGGTTTCCTACCCTAATGTGGAAACAACTCTGAAAATTAGGGTTAGTGATCACTTTTATTTTATTATTAATTATATATTATAAATTTATCGCCAACTAAAACCTAAATTTGCCACGGTAAATGATCATCAAGCTCAGAGTTTTGTTTTAATTGCTTTATCATAACGCAAGGGCATCACCACCGTTTGTTTACCTTACCTGACAACCAATTTACTGTATTGCCCCAAACAAATTAATAAATAAGATTATTTAATTTCATTTTGTCAATTTTATTTTTGGGAAATTATATGCACAACCTTTATACTCTCTTTACATGTTATTTATGTTGACTGATTCTCTTTTATATATTCAATCGAAAGATAAAACATAAACAGAGAGATAAAAGTGTAAAAATTATTTTCCATTTCTTTTGCCTAGTTTGTTTTGTCAAAGCCAACTGAATGAAAATTCAAATGCCTATCTTATTTCACTAAACTACGAGCTATTGTATGTAATATCTCATATGATCACATTTATGATAACATTTTTAGAAGAGTGGTGATTCCAACACACATGCGAGGGACACTAAAAATAGGACTTATCCTACAAAAGCTTGCCCGACGGAACAATTTTCATTCGTTAAAAAACCATTTACCCGACGAAATATTCAACTTGTAGGGAAAATCTAGTTAGCGTTTAGAGTTTAGAGAAAACCTTTATGAGACGGAAAGTATTCATAGGGCAAGATTTTATCCGTTAGGAAAAATTTTGGCACTAAGAGGAAAAAAATGGTGCACAATACCTTAAGGTTTGCAGGGCAAATACCTAGTTCGTTGGGTAGGTCCCTTTGCCCGCCAAACTTTTTTGTCGCTTACTATTGCGGGTCACGCATCATGTCCTTCATCTCATCCTCTCCCACTTAATTGAAGGTCAGTTCATTTTTATTTGTTGATTAATTTTGTCTTCGATGTGTGATTAGTTAATTTTGATTTATGTTGGTTAGTGATTGGATTGGAAGTTAAGGGAAAGGTATGTTTTGTCTCTTAATTATAAGTATTATGTTTGAATTTATTTAATTGTGATACGTATATATGTTGAAACTATGTGTGATGTGAAATTTTGAGTTTGTGTTATTGAAATATATGTAGATTAGGAGAATTTAATTTGTGCCACTATTAGAATTTTGTAACCATTTATATGGAGTTAATTATGTTGATAATATTTGTATAATAAATTCGAAGAAACCTTAGACCCATTTAAGGTTTTGTCGGACACACGTGTAGACGCAGTATGGGGCTCCGTGGTATTGAATCTTGAATTGTCCAGTTCGGGCACTAGTATGTGTTTAGGGTTTGTGATGAACTTGGCTAAGTTTCTTTCTTGGAAAATTCTGTTGTGTACCCTCTAATGTTCTTCGAGTGCATATTAGATTTTTTTTACGTCATGCACTTAGGGAATCATGGGGAGGTGCTGCCGGATTTTTTTACATCGAAAGTAGTCACGTAATTTGTAACCACAACACAGAAAATTCACTTTCAAATGGGATAGGTTCATTACCAGAGGCATAAGGGGGCGATGAAGCGTATTTTAAATCATTATGATGACTAAATTCTCTGAATACATGCGCAATGGAAAAGGAGTGGATCAAGTTGCAAGGTAGAAGTTGTGACCAATATTTGGATGGGATCGACAATATATTCAATTTGCATAATCATATTAGGTGTCCTTACGTGAAATGTAATATATTGTGTTTAGATGACACTAGACAAAGTCTGATATCACTTGTATTCGAATAGGATGGTACACACTTGCTCCAGTTAGACTTATCATGGAAAATCTCCCATTATAGCGTCAACGTCTTCCGGCAATGGGACAGTTTGGTTTCAACCCTCTATATCTGACCGTGTTGATGATGACCATGTGATGGACATATTAAATGATGATTTCCCTAATGTTTTGCTCAATAGGGATGAAGAGTCATCCACAGACCCCAAGAAGTAGATAAATTGAAGTCCAAATTTATGTCTTATTTCTTTTGCCAAGTTATTTTTGTCAAAGCCAACCAAATCAAAGTCCAAATTTATGTCTTATTTCACTTGACTACTAGCTAGTAACTACTACTCGTAATACCTCAACAAGGCGGTTCAGTGGCTGAGAACGAATTCCAGACCCATATTCCACACGGCATGTCCTGTATTCGATTCCTGCCGTTGGTGAATAGCACGATAGTGGTCAGGAGGAGGCTGAAATACCTCTGTGAGTCTTCCTGATTCCTGAAAGGGTGGACTATAGTGAAGAAACCATCAGCTGGTCCTCTTTTAAAAAGGAATCAACATACCACATTTTTTAGAACATATTTAGAAGAGATGTGGCTCCAACACACATGTGAGTAGTGATGGAGCGAGAAAATCATGTTGAGAAAAGTCAATCTTGAAAACTAGGGGTGAACACAAATTGGCCAAACAAACCAAGCCAGCTCTGAATGATAGAATGACCAATTTAGCAAGATTTTCACTTTCTACAAAAAAATGATGTCGAATAGCACAAATAAATAGTGCTTCATACCAGTTTTCTTATTTTCTCGCATGTGATATGGTAAAAATTAACACACAAATTAAATCTTATAGATTTTGTAATTGTAGTACGAGTAAGTAGGGATCATTCTATTTTGGGGATTAGAAATGATGCTAATCAACACAAATTAAACAAATAAACTGAAAACTAAGTTAAACTGACAAAGAAACAATGACTGGGGGGATTTTGGTCAAATTTAATTAAACAAAAAGTAAATGGCAACAAGAAAGTGAAGTTGTGAATAAAATACGGATGAAATGATAGTTAAATGATTCTTCTCCCCACATAAAACATATGTATATAAATCGATTTCTAGTTATTCTTTCTATAAACCATGAATGAAAATATCTCAAATTAACTGCAAATAGCACTAATTAACTCTTAAATTTTCCTAAGTTCAATGAATTTCACTCAGCGACACAACCAAATTATTCTTCTCAAGTTCCTTAACTATGAAAAACTAAGCATTGACGAAGTATTCATAATTATAAAAAAAACATGATACTCTTGCAAAGGATTTACTTAACTCAATCATGACTAGTAACTTTTATTACTTGCGAATACAAGTTCATAATGATTAGGTGAAATTCTCTTATATTCTAGCATCAAATCTCTGCATGCAAACTAAGTGTGCATCCTTTATAAACATACAAGAATTAGTTCTTTACTGGACAAATAAATCGCATAAATCAATTTATACAAAACATATGATCATGGCTTCAAATTCACCTCTAGCTATAAAGAAACCTAGTTACACATGTTCATCATAATTAAAAAGCAATCTAAAATAAACATTGAAATTTAAAACACAGATAGAAAGAACTTTGAAAATTCCAGCAATGGATGAATAATAGGCGTAGCACCCTTTTGTAAAACGTTGCAGGACACTTTATATATGTATAGGGCAGGCTGAATTCAGGGAAGAAAGGGATTATGCATTTTGAATTATTTTAGGACTCTAAAGAAACAGTTGGAGAATGTTGGAATGTGATTAGGATTCTTCCTTTCAGCTCGAGATAAGATAAGATAAGATAAGATAGGATAAGATAATGTTTCACTCCAACTCAGACTCCTCTTCCTTGTGTAATTCCTTGTCTTCCAAGCTTTAATCTTAATCCCCTTCAGATTTTAGCATAGGTTTAATACCTTTTAAACTCCAAAAACATCCAACCCATACGCTATCCATGCACATTATCCAATCCAAGTCCAAAACTGCTTCTAATTGCGTTATTTGATCTCTAATGCTCAACTTTAAGAACTCGACCTACAATGAAACGAAAATAACTTAAACTACTATAACAAATGAAAATTAACCAAGTAAATGCAAATAAATAAGATAACAAAATTACATAAATATGCTCCTATCAGCACGTTTTTAATTAAAGACAAAAACGACTTGAATTGTTAGAGTTTTGATACTTCACATAGTAATGTGACATTGTGTCATTTTGTTAAGTGGCCCAAAACTTGAATATACTCTGTAGTTAGCTTTCTTTTTCTTTTCTTTTTTTTTTTCACACTTTTCCTAGTGTCGAAATTTACTCGACTACTTTCCTCATGAGGCATCCTTCATTGCTCAGCTATAGAACATAGGATTACTGATAAATCCAGCATGCTAAGCATAAAACATAAAATCTTGTACAAGGATAAAATAGAAACAAAACACAAACATATACATGAAAATTTATGATCAACTTCTAAACTGCTTGTTGATTACATAGTCAAACTGGGTAAATTGGATATTATTCTTACTTAAACATAGGGAGGCGACATTGAGCTTCGAAAATCTGTCTGGTCTCAAACTTGCATCAAACCATTAAGGATACCATGTCCCCTCTGGAATATTATTGCTGAAAATGAATTACGATATCGCATGCTACAGCTAAATGTTTAATACTGGCAGTTCAGCTGTCCCGAAAAGAAATCCGTGTTATACTGAAAGCTTTTGGTCTCCAGGCCATGCGTTCTGAAAGGAACGCGGATCATTGCATCATTTTGAAATTTTCGCAGTCAGCTCTCTCACCAGCTTAGCAGCAACCATTGCAGTCATCCCATCAACAGTATCACGCTGTGGGTTGAACTCAACGACATCTGCAGCAACAACATCACCTTGGAGGTTATGGAGTATGTTGAGTACATCGCGGAAGGAGAGACCACCTGGCTCAATGTGTGACACTCCAGGAGCAAACGCAGGATCCAGGCAATCTACATCTATCGAGATATACACTCCCTTCACACCTTCCCCTAATTTCTGTCAAAGATAAATTTTGTAAGAGATATATATGGATGGATGCTAATTATAGATCACACGTCGAATGGTATCGTAAGCATTCATATATAACAGCTGGTTGACAAATATCCAATTAGCTATCTACTTAACTACATAAATATACAGAAACAATGATGGATATGCATAGGCAAGCTAGTGAGGAAGAACAGAAGAGAAAAAGAGCAAGAGACACACAGAAGCTCATAAATGGAAACACAAAGGACAGAGGGACATGGAAGGAGAGAAGAACAGAGAGAAAGAGATGGAGACCAGATTTTCCAAAAAGTGACGATCTCGTGAAAAGGTTCGCATTTCATATTGCTCAACACCAAAACGTTTTCCTTGTACACGCCCTTCATTGTTAATTGATCTAATGCCAACCTGAAAAGTCAGCAACCAAGTTCATTAGGTTAACTGCAAACGCTGGATAGCAACTAAAACAGGAGATTTCAACTTAATCTGAAAGCGCAAGAGAGTACGAGAACTACATTTGGTTAAATGTTTGAATAACTATGAACGAGGAGAAAAACAAATTGCCATAGGTAGGAAAACTTAAAAGGGAAACTTAAAAGTAAGTACAGAACACTCTTAATAAAGTAGATTTCACTGACGTTGCAGACAGACGACTAACAACAAAACGCTACTTCTACTAACTACTTAATTCAAGAACCAGAGATGCAATTACTATATGATGTCACGAAATCCTCCTTCTGGTAACTACTTTCCATGATGCATTCTACCTCCTATTCCCAAAATTTCAATCTTTGAAAAGAAAAAAATTCTAGTGCGATAGAAGTGCAAATATTATCAGATGAGTACGTTAATGTTTACTAAGTTCCCACAAACAATGTCAAAATCCTATGAGATGCTTTACAGAAAACCAGTAATGACACACCTAGAAACCCAGGCCAGGTGAAACTATAAAATATATACATAAATTTATTATTTGGATCAATACACATTTCTTAAATAAGTAGGAATGCAAACCATAAAGTGTATAGATGCATAGTAACAGACAAAAATTACCTGCAATAGGCGCCGAGCATAACCCCCTTCCATAATACGAGCAAAAGAAGATGCATGTGAATATTTATTATCTTCAAAGGCATGATAGATATCAGGATGGGCGTCAAGATGAAGAATATCCACAGGTCCCCCAAGCTTCTCAGTGACAGCTCTTACGACAGGATAAGAAATTGAGTGGTCACCACCTAACACTAATGGGCGCAGTGGATCCTGAAAGGGCATGGACACAATGTAAAGGTTTGTCTATTAAAAGCAAAAGTTAGCTAGTGTATAGATTAACGTCATCGGAATGAAAAGTCTCGGCCAAAAAGGATAACACTATCATGAAGGAGTGCTCTCAATATCTCTGACGATTTCCAGAAAACAAATTTCCGAAACAAGACCATGCAAACATGCCCCGGATCCAGAATGAACTCAAGATATTGTGCTGACCACTGATGGCATCTGAATTTTCTAGTTTCTCTGTCTGACATGAAGAGTCAAAGCTCTCACCAAACTTTTTCTGAAAAGGATCTTGATTGGTGCACACTATACTAGTAAAGTCCCCAATTAAAAAGGAAATATAGGCACCCAATGTAAATGAACCCTTACAATCCCTCCAGCAAGGGCCTGAATTTGGCATCATACTGCATGCAGGGTACTTGATATCTACGCATGTAAATTATTAACTGCACTAGCTGAGCTTCAAAGTATACTTCTCAAATGGCTGTTTTTTAAATTATAAGCATATTGTGTAACACAAAATTAAAAAAATGTATGAGCATATTGCAAGCAACTGAGTCATACTGGAGGAAAATTCAGTGCTATTAGGCAAAAACCACTATAGATGGTTATCAAGGGAATATGACTACATCTACGAGCAACTAACAGCGAACATGTTGTAGTTCACTTAATTGCTGCTAAAACAGAGTCTAAGTAAAGCATTTTAGGCACATCAGGCAGCACTACCAACAAGGTGGAAAGTACATATGTATTAAGTTTTGGTGCATAAGGTTCAAAAACTCAACTTTTGTCACATAACCTAGCACAAATGGCAAAACTGGTGTCAGAGTTATCAAGCTGCCCACGGAACAAGAAGTAGAGTTTTGAGAACATAACAGAACAACAGTATTGACGTAATTTTTCCACTTAAATCTTCCACAGCTTCAGTTTGTTTCTCAAAACAAATTATTGCAAAAAAAAATTTGAAGTTTATAGAAATTACAACCAACCTGTTCCATTACTAGCTTGACAGACTCACTTATGACATTCATCAGTCTGTCATCATCTACTCCACAATCTCGAATTTCTTGGACAGGAACATCACCAACATCAGTTAGCACCCTCGGGTCATTTAGTTCTTTCCCTGCATCACCAGCATCATGTTACAATGATTTCACACACCATCAAATGAGAAAAACGAAGGGACAAGAAATCAGCAACAACAATGAGCATTGCATCTCTCAAATTCACAAAATTGCAGATGTTTCACGAATTATGATGCAGTCATCACAAAACCTGAGTACATACATATACACATGATAGTTCTGAGAATGGTTGGTTTCACTAACAGCATAAACTGCTAAATGCAATAGTAAATATGAGAAACAACCGCCAATGTTGCACTTCGAATTCTCAAGCGACACTTGATGGGTAGACAGCTAAACATTGAATGGTTTAAGAAGCAAAATGTTCAGTAATAATTTAGATAATTCGATACCTTCTTCAGTAGTTGAGTTGGTGCTCCCACACCAGATAGCCTCTCTAATCCTCGGAGGAGCAAAAGCTGGCCCTTGAAGAAACGATGAGTTATGTCCAAGAGGAACTCCAAGAAGAGATGTGGATGCCACAGCTCCTCCTAAAGCACGTACAAGTTCTCCCTACACAACCCAAAAAAGCGCAATTCACCACAACCAATTCTAAGTCCAAGAATCTACTTACACAATCACATAAACAAAAATACCCACTTTTTATTCGATCGATATTCTAATTAATCTAATCTAATCTAATCTAAACGACCAGGAGTTAGATTCAAACTTATCAAATTGAAGAAAAAAAAAATCACCAAAACTCGTTCCATGTCCGAAAATCTGCACAATCACATAAACAAAAAGAAAACCATCGTTTTTTTATTCGAGCCATATTCTTATTAATTTAATCTTAACGACGAGGAGTGGGATTCAAACTTAAACAACTGAAAAAAGAATAAGAAATACCCAATTTACCAGAATTTATTGCGAGTCCAAAAATCTACTTGGACAATCCCAAAAGCAAAAAATGAAACACAACCCAAGAAGGAAAGAGCAAACCTTGAGCTTTGCCCTCTCACGAATGAGTGTGAGAGAAGCATCTATGACTCGACTCTGGCCCTTCTCTATCAGAGCAACGGGAACGTTTTCAGCATTCAATTTATGCAAGAAATGGATTCCTCTGCGCCCAATGATTGACATATCTGCAAATTGCATGGACAAAAACACACTTGATTTTCTCACAAGTCACCGAAATAAGAAAAGAAAAAAAAAACCCATGTAATTGTAATCGCTTTGGGGTCGAGAAATCAGAGAAAGTGTATACCTTTGAGCGGGAATTTGAAGGTGGTAGAGAGAGAGAGAGAGAGAGAGAGAGAGAGAGAGTTGAGTGAGAAACGGAAACCAAGAATTGCAGTGATTCAGTGACCAATGAAGAACGACGCAGAATAGAAGATAACAACTAAATAATCCGGATTAATTAACGTAATCCAAATTTAGGATTTGATTTATTTACCAGGTATGAAGAGGATGACGGGTCATTTCTCGTTTGATATATCCACTCCATTTTCTTCCTTTCTTGCTGAATATGTCTCAAAAGACATTACTGTCCTTCACCCTGCATTGTTTTCCTATTCGTGATGATAGGACCACATATCCAACTTTAATTTTACGCACATTCAACCACGAAAACCATTCACCTCTTTTTTTTACTTCAATCCCTCCCCCGCATCTCCCCCTTCCCTCCCGCCTCCCCTACCCTCTCGTAGCTCCTCCCCTCCTCCCCTCCTCCCCTCCACAACTGAGATGAGCTAACCAATGGTCCTTTCTCAAAGCAGAGTTTGGTTCCGTTGCCTCGCCCTATGAATGTTGTCGTTGTATGTTTGCAGAGGTTGGATGTTGTTTCGCTTTATGCGTTGAGTTTGTGCTCTCATCCTTCAATGGTGACATTTGTGGTCTCGTTCTATTGCGATGATTTTATGTAGCCTCGCATTTAGGCGACGACCTATGCCGTCGTTGGTATAAGTCCGTTGCGTCTATCATGTTTTTGTAATATATTTGTATTGATGACTTTTTGTGGAGTCAAGACAGTGTTTGTGGCAGGCATATAGAGGTTTACTATTATTTGTTTCTCCATGCAAATTTACTCTAGATCAATTTCTTGATTACTGGAGCTTATGTATCCAATTGGCAAACTCTGTAATTGTTTGTGAAGTTCAATGAAATACCACTCTATTGTTTCTTATCCAAAAAACAAAAAGAGAACATGTTTAAATTATTATACAAGACATTATTTTTTATTTGATCATTTTGAGAGTTTTGAACATGTTTTATTGACACAATCTTTTCAAAATAAATTTTATAATTTAAACTACATATTAATAAAATTAAGGATGAAAAGATATTTTTGTCTTCTATCATAACAAAAAAATTAAGGACGGTAACTTAATTTCACAAAACAAAATTTTGTTGATTTTGGTTTAAGCCTCACCTACACACAGTGTTTAAAGTATCGATATCGGTGGATGTATCGATATGCAAATTTTTGAAAATATCGAAAGATATGCCGTCGATATCAATATTGGTTGCTTTCAATGAAACTGATTAAAATTTAAAATAAAACTGTATGGATTGTCAAATATTGGTTTGGAATAAATATAAGAGTTCTTCCAATATTTAACAGCTGTGTCAGAAATATCGACGATATTTGGTAATTTTAGTCTAAACTTAAGAGTTTCTCCGATATGAGATGAAGTTTAGATTTTATCCTCCATTTCCATATTTTTCTGGTGATTCTCTAATTAAAAAAAATAAAATAAATAAAAAAAGTAATAAAAAAACAAACCTCTCTCCCTCTCTCTCTAACTCTCTTCGTTTCTTCTTCAATTTTAAAAACAAAAGTAAAAAATTTCACACACTTTGTGTGTGGGTATATACTAGTATCGTCTTAAAGATTTTAGTGTTACAACATTTTATCTTCGGGGCTTGTGGCATAACTCTATATATATTCTTTGGTTTAGTAATTGGACAAATTAACTGAAGGTACAGTTTGAATTTTAGGTGGTCGTGTGCTGTGGTGCTCTAGTTTGATTATCAAAAAGGATTTTGGAAGATAGAAAATCCTACAGAGTAAAAGAAACAATTAACCCCGGAATATTCTATTTTATTTTAGTACATTTTATTACAAAATATAATAAAAGGTTCTCCAATTATTTGAGAAGCTTGTGGTGGGTGCCCCTAGTAAAAGAAGTGGCGATCGAATGATGACGTGACCAACATACATGGTGGTTTGCCGAGTCACATGCCAATCAAATCTTTCGTCGGACAAAACCAACAGATCACCCAAGAAATGAAACCTGACGACACGCGTTTCGAGGTGCGTTTGTTCTGACCCGAGGTGTGTTTTGAGACACTCTTATCCTATATTGATCAACAGTATTTTTTCACTAATCTTTATATAGACTTATTCCTTTTTCTTAGTAATTAAAACTTGGACCATTTGAAAATGGATTGAAGATTTGGACCTTATGGTTGTGTGAATTAGGCTTAATGATTATACTATAATATTAATATTAATTAATATTAATTAATCAAGACAAGGACCTTGGGCCTTGGGGCACTTGGGGCCAAGGAATTAAAATTAATATGATCAATTAGTTTTAATTTCGAATTAAGTTTTTAATTAAATTAATTAAAAACGTTTTGATTAATAGACACAACTCTTTGGAAAGAGTTGTATAGCTTCAGATACATCCAAAAGGTGTTTGAAAAGGTATGAAAGAGCCTATATAACTGGAGTCCTCAGTTCCATCAAAAATCATCTTTTTCTTCCCCCTTGTCTTCCGTACAAAATTTCCAAAGAGTAAACACACAAAGCAATTCGCTAGAGTTCTATAATTCAGTCCGGGTTGTAGAATTAGATAGTTGTATCCTAGTCGAGCAGACGTTGTAGAACCACAAGCACACGAGTGGGACGGAAATACTATTCGAAGGACATAGCGTTTGCGCTAACCTCTACCTTCAATTCATTCAAGTTAGTGTCATTTTAATTTTTTTTTTGTTACTATAACATAATTGCATTCTGTATTACAAGTATTTTTGAATAATAAAGTATAAGTATTTCGGTTCTGTATTTCTGTTATTTTATTGTTTCTAAATTGTTCTCCAACAATCTTTGAACAGTATGGAACAATCGGGAACTAAACCTCATTCTGAGAAGCCTAAGAAATTTAAGGGCGGAGACTTCAAAAGATGGCAGCAGAAAATGCTGTTTTATTTGACAACCTTGAATTTGGCTAATGTTCTACGCGAGACTGTACCTACTGCAGATGGAGAAAATATTTTTTCTGCAGAAACTTTAACGGCTATAGATGCCTGGAATCATAATGATTTCCTCTGCATAAACTATATTCTCAATGCATTAGATGATTCATTGTATGATGTCTATGTAGTATGCAAAACAGCCAAGGAACTTTGGGAATCACTTGAGAAAAAATATAAAACTGAGGATGCTGGTTTGAAGAAATTTGTCGTGGGCAAATTTTTAGACTACAAAATGGTGGATTCCAAGTCCGTTGTCTCTCAAACTGAAGATCTCCAGAAAATCATCCATGACATTCATGTTGAAGGGATGGTGATCAATGAGTCTTTCCAAGTGGCGTCCTTTATAGAAAAACTACCACCTTCTTGGAAAGAGTTCAAGAATTATCTCAAGCACAAACGTAAAGAGATGACCCTTAAGGATCTCATTGTAAGGCTGAGAATAGAGGAAGATAACAAAAAGAATAAGAAGGGCCTGGTTTCGAGTATGGAAGCCAAGGCGAATGTTGTTGAAGGAAGTTCATCAAAGCAAAGGCCGAAGTTCCAGAAAACTAAGAAAAAGGAAAAACACTTTGTCCCTGGTGCAAAAGGAAAAGACTTCAAGAAAATCAAGGGAAGTTGCTGGGTTTGTGGAAAGTAAGGCCATAGGGCTTAAGAATGTCGCCATCGAAGGGATCAAGGTCCTGGAAATCAAGGCAACAACAACCACGCAAACCTAATTGAAAACAATGTGGATGCCTTGGCTGCAATGATTTCTGAAATCAACCTTGTATCTGATCACGCTGATTGGTGGATAGATACCAGTGCAACTCGCCATGTGTGTGGTGACAAAACTATGTTCTCATCCTACCAGAAAATCGAGGGAAACAAGCAGCTGTTTATGGGAAATGCATATGCATCTGTTGTGGCTGGAATAGGGAAATGTGTTCTGAAATTCACTTCTGGAAAGGAATTAACCCTCCTTGATGTGCTACATGTCCTCGATATAAGGAAGAATCTTGTTTCTGGTCCTATTCTTAGTAATAAAGGATTCAAACTAGTTTTTGAGTCCAATAAGTTTGTACTAACTAAAGGGGGAATGTTTGTAGGGAAGGGTTACCTTGCTGATGGATTATTCAAACTAAATGTACTTGCTAATACTATGAATGAAATAAATAATGCTTCTACTTATATTGTTGATTTGTCTAATTTATAGCACTCTAGGTTAGGACATGTAAATTTTCGTTCACTTTTTAGAATGCATAATTTAGGTTTGCTGCCCAAAATTGATTATCTAGATAATGTTAAATGTGAGACTTGGACAGAATCGAAATTTGCAAGTCAAAGCTTTAAATCAGTGCATGAAAAGTCCAATGATTTATTAGATTTAATTCATAGTGACTTGTGTGATTTTAGATCATATCCAACTCGTGGTGGAAAGAACTATTATGTAGCATTTATAGATAATTTCAGTAAGTATTGTTATGTTTATTTACTTCATAGTAAAGATGCGACCTTGGATATGTTTAAGACATATAAGGCAGAAGTTGAGAATCAACTTAACAAGAAGATTAAAGTCTTAAGGTCCGATAGGGAAGGAGAATATGAGTCTCATGCCTTTGCTGAATTTTGTGCCACACATGGCATAATTCATCAAACAACAGCCCCTTATACACCACAACAAAATGGTGTTGCCGAACGGAAAAATAAGACTTTTAAAGACATGATCAATTCTATGTTGAATAGCTTTGGGCTTCCACACAATTTGTGGGGTGAAGCTTTACTTACTGCAAATAAAATTTTGAATCGAATTCCACCTAAAATGAGAAAAGAGTCACCATATGAATTATGGAAAGGAAGAACCCCAACGTTTAAATTGCTTAAAGTGTGGGGTTGCCTGGCAAAAGTACAAGTCCCATTGCCAAAGAGAACAAAATTAGGGCCTAAAACTATAGATTGTGTTTTTATTGGTTTTGCATCTAATAGTTCAGCTTATAGATTCTTAGTTTTTCATTCCGAAGTCAGTGATATACATGTCAATACTATTATAGAATCTATAAATGCAATATTTTTTGAGGATATATTTCCATACAAAATAGGCAAGTCTAATTTATTGAAAAAGAGATTACATGATGATGTATCTGAGGTTAATGAAAAACCTAGAGAACATGATGATGGTTCATCCTCATCTAGATTTCAAGAAGAAGAAGAA